CCTAAAAATTCAATGAGGAGGACTTTCGCGACTTGACAGATTTAACGTGCATCAGTCACTTTACTACACGGGGAGTCTACGCCCGGCGGGGCTCGAACCCACGAACTCTCGGACATGGGCCCAGCTCCCTACCGACCAGGCTATCCCAGCCCTCATAGATTTGAATTTGTCAAATTGATTGCATATAAATTATATTTTAATAATTTTCCTTAAAAATGTGTTTAATCAATCTATTCTGTTCACAACACTCACAGCAACACCAAATGTTGACTATTTCGCTGCCCTTTTTTCTACGTTTTTATTAATTTTCTTCCGTTTTTATCCAGATTATATCTTGCAATCGAAATTTTACTAAAGTATACAGTTTCAATCATTTCCTACAAGCGGAATTTATTGTCCTTTCAACACTAAATCAAATATATCGTCAAAGAAAATTCCTTATAACTGACTAGGGCACTCAATTTTTTACTGGATATCCGTTCTGGACAACAATTGCTTCTTGAGAACTGAAAAAAGAATTTATCGCGATAAATTGTTCAAAATTAGTTTATCAACAATCGAAATTCTAAGTACTTTAGTATTAGCTGGAGCATTAAAATTGTAACTGATGCTCTGACGACATTCAGACTTTCAACATTTTGTAATTGGTAAAAATAAAATTGATTTTCATATTAATGCCGAAAGCATTTATCGTCAATCAAGCTAGAGACTACTTTCAGGTAAGTCAAATTGTAAATGTGTCTTTGAGCTTGACGAAAATGAAAATTTCCATCGTTTTATGATGCTTAAAAGCAGAATTTATTATTTTTATCTGAAAATAAAAATATTGACCACAGAAATTTCGATCAAATTTCAATTGAAATTTTTTTATATGATAACAATGCAGTTTCAATGGTTTCAAGTTCTTGATTTTGTCGAAATTTTGATTGTTTTTTATAGCCAATCGAAGTTTTGAAATTTTTCCTTAAACAAGCTAATAGAGAAAAGGCCAACAAATACATGAAAATAAATAAAAATTTCAAAACTGCATTTCTAAAGTAGACTAATGAGGAAACATTTCCATTTTTGATTGATCGAAAGTGAAAAATGCATGGCACTTCACTTTTATACTTATTTTTATAACTACTGAATATCTCCTCATCCTCAATCTTTTGAATTGGACACTGCTTTTTTTTTTTTTAATAGTCTGGCTAAAACATTTTCTTCCCTATTATCAACTTAAATTTTTGATTTTTGCTTTATTATATATGTAGGAATTTTTCCTCTAGTCAAACAATGTAAAAATTAAAAAACGATTTTAAGTATGTACAGTACAAGTATAAGGCAAAATAATAGTTATTCACAATTTCTTAAATTATTTATATTTATTAAGGAAATGTAAGTTACAACTTTTTTTTAATTTTGCTCGATTTTTTTATTATTTATTTATAACCCGTCAAAGAATCTGTTGTAAATCAATTTCCAATAATTCTTTCTCTCATGTCCTAAAGATTATACAACCCATTGAAAATGTGTTCAAATTTACCGGAACACGTTTTTTCGAATGCTCAACAATAGTGAGCACTTGTGTAAAATCATAGTGAAAAACACAGGGAGAGAAAAAATGTCACGTATGCGCCTTGTCGGTCTGCGGTTTGATTTGCTTGTCAGTGTCGCAGGAAGATGATAAAAATTGAGATTTGATCAAATACCTAAACTAGACGATCAATTCAGACAGGATATTAAAATAAAAATGATGGGGGGTGATTCCCCCCCCCAAAAAAAATTAAGTGATTTAATCAAATCCCTCAACCGTTTTAGTGAAACGATGAAATAATATTGTTTAGGTGTTACAGCCAATGTAATTAATCGCTTGATATAATTAATAATCGGTTATTGTTGATAATAATCGAATAAGTCGGTTACAGTACGTGTGGCTGTATGCTGGGCAGTGGCAATTATTCTTAAAAAAACATCAGTGTGGTGTATACCGGGCAAAAGTGAACCAAGCAGGAGCATTTAACCTGATAAAAACATTAGTATGTTTTAAACTAGGATGTGACACTCACTTCCCTTGATTACTCTGATAATTCAAAACAATAAACATTGATTATTATCAGCAGCCGAATTTATGCACTATTTTCAATAAGGGGAGTAGTAACAAGAGAAAGATAGAGCTGTGCGAGTTCTAACTTGTTTATTTCTTTTTCTCACTTAAGCAATTAAGGAATTTGATCAAATCACTTATTATTTTCTTTAAGGAAATCACCCCACGCAGTTATGTTTATATCTTACGTGAATTGATCTCCTGGCCTACTTCAAACAACAACACAATTATATTATTAGTTGCTAGTAAAAGTAACTTCATTTTATACTTAGATCAACCTTAAAAGTAAGATCTGGTAAAATAAGCAAATGTACCCAAGATCTGACGACAAGCCCTGACTTACGAATGGGGAAATTTACACCACACCGTTGAGCATTTGGTAAAGCCCCACCAGAACTTTATCTATAGCCCAACAAACGGCCATATTGTTTTCAGCCGCGGGGGCTCAGGAGATAAAGCATTCGTCTGTCAATGAGGTGATCCAGGTTCAAATCCCTTCGGTGGCTATATGATACGAATTCAGTTCCCGGTTCGTACAGCACTGACTTAAAATATCCTCAGTGGTAGACGGATCATTGGCTAAATCTCACTTGTCTTCGGGCTAATTTTGGAAGATTCTCCTCTCTGTATAACGTAAATTTGGGTTAGTTTCATCAAAAAATCCTCCATGAGTACTAGTTTGAATAAATGTTTGATCTAGTAGTCCCCTTGTCCTCTGGATCGGGTTCAGAATTACAAGGCTACGAAGTTGAACCTTGAAAGTCGTTTTGAGTCCTTTGTACAACGCCGGTTATAAAAGAAAAACAAAATCATCTTTTTAGACCTAAAGATTATATAACACAAAATAGCTCCGTACGCAAAAAATACACATACTTTATTAGCACTGGCTATCAGTCTGTAGTATGGAAACCAATAACAGTTAACACTGCTTAAATTTGTTACAAGATTTTTTTTGCCGTATGCCTGTTTAGACAGTGGGGGTGCGATTGTTCCTGTTTCTAAGTGGCGCCATCTATGGCCAGGAATTCGACTTCTGCCACGCCACTCACACAACCACAGCCCGTTTATAGGTGGGTCACATTCACACACAGAGGAGAAAGGGCATAGAACACACAGAGAGAGAAAGAAACATCCATGCCTTGCCCGGGATTCGAACCCAGGACCTTTCTGATGCAAGGACAGTTCCGTTAAAAGATTTATGAGTATAATAACAGTAGATTCAAACATGTTATGGGGTTTAAGGTAATAGGTTAAGGTATAAGGTAATAAGTATTATGTAAAAAATTTCGGTGAGAGTTGATTTATAATATCGTCCAAAATGTTACATCCTTAATATGTCGATAGGTATTATCGCACTTTTTTTAAGCTTAATTGCACGATAATATGTCTCAACGTGAACAGAAATCTGAGTAAATATTCCATTCTATTAAGGTAGCAGTGAATATACACCGTATTATGGTATTAGATACCGATAGTATACGGGACAGAACTAATAATTAAAATTACAATATTTCTTAAAGTTATAAAATGGGATTTATCTAAATTATAAATACTCTTAGACAAAATTAAACGCGTGTAGTCAATCCGTTTTTCCGCAGGTGTTGCAATCTCAATAAAATTACTAATTCATTCCCGGATGTTGATGCAAGAGAAAGTAGAAAATAAGATTTCTATTTCGTGAATATCCTTATTATGTCCAAATCATGATTGTCCTAACCTTTCTAAAAGCCTTCTCCGCATCTTCATACATAAGTAAATGGTGATATGTTCTCCCAACGTTTATATGTGCTCCAATGTCATCTGGCTGAATTCTAAAACATATAAAAAATGCAAATGTATTATATACAAATATTTTTAATATTCTTTTGAGAATAACATATTAAAATACTTTCATCAATTATAGTTAGATTTGAAATATTGCTTAAATATAAAAAAAGTTTAATTTCAGATTTTTTTTTCTTAAACGAAAATATTAAAGTATCTGACTAGTGCAAAAACATGATTTGGGGCAAAAGTTTTGAAATTGAGTTATTATAAATTTTAAATTCCTGTACTCTTAGTTTTCTAAAAAAAAACTTTACTTCTGTTTGTACTGTAATTAGTCTTTACTAAGTTATAATAGTTTTTGTGCAAGATGATAACAATGGATAGACAAAAGTATTTAAATACATTTATTTCAAAATCAGATGCTTTTCAAATTTTAAGTCATCTTAATACACGATATCTCATATTGTTTTTAAAATTATTGTCCATAATTGTTCTTGATTGTTTATTATTATATTACAGCACACATGGTTTGAACTACAGACTAAGAGAAAAAAAATATATTAAAAAAGTATCTGACTAGTGCAAAAACATGATTTGGGACTAAAATGTTTGAAATTGAGTTATTATAAATTTTTAATTCCTGTACTCTTAGTTTTCTAAAAAAAACTTTACTTTTGTTCGTACTCTAATTACTCTTTGCTAAGTTATAACAGTTTTTGTGCAAGATGATAACAATGGATAGATTAAAGTCTTTAAATGCATTTATCTCAAAATCAGACTAAGAGAAAAAAAAATTATGCATGTTTTTTCGCAAAGACAAGAAATTTTTTTACAAATTTGCTTTTTAACTACATTGATCCCTAACTCAGTAGTATATGCACTTGCGCTTAAGAAGTTTTATTTTCCTAAGGAGATTTTATTTTAGGCGATGAAACTTTTCTTATAGTGCTTAGCATAAATTAAATTTTAAAAAAAAATGCCTTATTTTTGCCTTTTTTTTTACAAAAATGAAAATTATTATTATTTTTTGGAAATTTTATACGCTTTTATACATAATAAAACAAATAAACTAATTTTTGTGAATTTTATGTTGATATTAAAAAAACTTGTCAAAATTGGTCAAACACCTTAATATATGCATTTAAATAAGTTAAATTTTACAAATGACATTCAAAAGTTAGATTTCCAAATTTCCAGCAAGTCTCTGTATTTATCAAGTATCTATATATATATTTCTCTTACACGGCGACAAAAAAAGCCTCATTATAACTCCCCGAATGGCAACGNAGTGACAGTGCGATTGGTATAAAGAGATTTCTATACTCTATCAACTATCGACTACATTGGTATCAATATTTATTACACTTTGTTTCACTTTATCTTCTTCATTATATAATTCCCAAAATAATTCAGGGTCCTGAATGCCATATTTTAAAAACTTGCTCGGGTATCAGCTATTTGATAAAATCAGCTATTTACTTTTGCATTACCACATTAATATAAAAAAAATTTAAGCTTATCATTTATTATTTGAGTGACTTAATAGCGTAATGCATCTGTTTTAAAAACTAACATTTTTCTACAGGCATTATTATCATATTTTTATGGACTAAAAGAATTTCATGTCCCATTGCAGCTTAAAATATAAAAACAATGTCTAAGAGAAGAAAATCCAGGTTTTTATTTCTAAACATTATCAAATCTAATTCTACAGTCTTCTACAACATTCTTCAGTAGCAATAAGGGGCAGATGAACAGCTTATATTTTTTCTCAAAGATGCTTTAAAAATCCTTTCATTTTTAAAATCATAAGTGCCGGAGTAGTAGCATATAACTTTATCTAATGCTTCTCTTAGAAAGAAAATGCCTCCGACGTACGTCACATTTCATTTTAGTTTTCCCTATTTCCCCTCAGGGTGAAACAGTTCAGTCAGGAAACGCGTAAAAAATTCTTAGAAAAAGGGAAAAATACTTAGATGGTACAAGACCGCAATGCGCACGATTTTGCAAAGAGTTGAAAAAAAAAGTATTAGAGAAAGCAAAAGAAAACAATCTTGACCGGAACAAGGTGGGTTAAACTTAATGGATCTGAAAAGGGTAACGCGCAATATAGTACGTGACATATATTTCGGATAGGAAACTACCGTAGAAAGGACCTCACAGAAACATATCGTCATGAAAGCACGTTCATATATGTATGTATCTATGTCTCGTATCTATGTGAAAGTTACAGGTAAAGTTAAAAAAATATATCCAAACAGGTAATTTATAGGAAACGTATGTCTTCGAGTAAACATAAGAATGGTCCCAAGCGCAAAGGGGAAAATGCTGATTTCTTTTTTATTGTTCGTAAAAAGAAGTGAATGGCTGTGAAAAACAATGAAGCTGAAAATATAAAAGAAAAACGTTGCCAAAACATTTTTAAAGTGTCTTAAAGAATTTACATTTTCTGTGTATTGTTTTATTAACGAAATATTTCATACCTTTGCAATTTGTATAGTTATCTTTGGTTAGTTATTTGGAGTTATATATATATATATATATATATATACACTAACAGATAGATAGATATAGAAGCCTGAAGTTGTGTACTAAACTGTTATTCGATTTATTTGAGCTGTATTTTCTGGAAGTTTCTCCTAATAAATGTTTTGAGTATTAAGGACTGTTTTATTCATCTCCAATCGAAACGAACCCTTGTGCTCGGTACAGTACCTTTTACGAGACGAAATTTACAGGCAGACCTACATTTTTATAGTCATGATAGCTTTACCGGCATAACCGGATAAAAGTATTCATGTCTCTGACTGTAATGTAGTGTAAAGTTTTTTAAGTCTAAAAAATTTCGATGCATAAACTTTTTGATGCTGGACACTCTAATCTGTAATTAAGTTCATTTCACAAATGTTGTAGTCAAAGACACAGTCAATAGTTTCAAGCACTGCACTAATATGTTAGTTCTTACAGTGATTTCATAAACAGTAGTTAATAAACAGTGCTTCCGTAATTTTTTAACATTAAAAACGCTTTTATAAAATATTAATGCTGGAAGTACTCCAAAAACGTGAAAAACGCATTAGTGTGTCATTACAAAGCATTGATATTGGGAAATTACAAAATGGGTGAAACGATCTTGATCATAAATTAGATCATTGTTCTGTAACAAGTGCCACATAACGAATAATAATTTTTGTGCATTATTTATATTAATGATAGGTAACAGTTCCCAAAATGTAAATGTTTTATATCCGGTTATTTTTTTTTGTACTAAATTAGCATGTTTTCATTTATTTATAGTATTGCTTTTTAAAAATATTTCATTGGAATTAAATTTATTTTAAATTTTAATTCCTTTGGAGGTGTGCTTCTTCTTTTATTGAACTAACTTTAAAATAAATTAACTAAGTTAATATGACTTTCAATAAATAATGAGTAAATAGGACGAATCTTTCTCCCAATCAGAAATCATCGCAAAACACTTGATCGATAAATTCAAATTATTCAGTTTTTTTTTATTAATTTTTAATGAGAACTTACTTTACAGCTACACTGAAATATTCCAAAGCTTCGCGATATTTTCCTTGACTTTCGAGTGAGTGCCCAACATTGTTGTACAACTTGGCATTTCTTTGATTCACTTTTAAACCAGCCATAAATATTGTGTATTCATTCTGCCTAAGAAAAAAAGGAAATAAACAATGCTTATGATTCATGAATCTTAATCTAATTTATTACGTTTCAGTTCAAATTTTTTATAATGAAACAGAGTATATTGCAGTAGAAGCTGTTTAAATGGTAAAATAGCAACGAACAATAAAGTCCATTACGGCACAAAATAATAAAAACTATCTAAAACAAAGAATTAATATAGATTTGTATTAATATAGGTTTATATGCGGGTGATTCCGATAAGCAGGAGCTATAAATGTTTAATATGAACATTGATTCCTTTTTATATTTTTAAGATTGTTATCGTAGCCTAAAATTATTTTTTTGTAATTTTTATGATATTCCGTAGCTTATTAAGTTAAAGTCTAATATTACAAATATTGACAACTGTTTGATATTTAAAAATCTCTATTTTCTTTAATTTTCAAAATTTTTTTAAAAAAATTTTGCACTTCTATTAAGATAAAATAAATTTTTGAAAATCCCGTTCTGAATTACCGGTTTCAATATACTTTTTTATGAAAGGAAAATCCTATTATAGGAAAGAATTGACAAATCATGAATGTGTAATTAATAAGGACTTTATTTTCTGTGAAAAAAATATTAAGCACAATTTATAGCAAAATAAAAATGGATTTGAAAAAATGCGTATTGCATAGTATATCATAAACATACCAGAAAAAATATATTTGAAGATTATTTTTCAATTTTTCACGGCCTTTATTAGAATTTGCATAAATTAATTTCCTAGTTTCATTTTTCTTGAATGTTTTTTCCTTAAACTGTAGCAATTGATATGCTTGACAATAAAACCTAATTAGCGAATAGTAAAATAAATTTAAACCATTGAATAATTTTCTTTATTTTTTACTGGATAATAAATTGTTTTATTAAATATTATGTATTGAAGCAAAAATTAATATTTTTGAAGCTGTCATGCAGAAGAACTGGAAAATAATTAAAATTTCTGTAAATTTCTTCATTTTCATGAAAGAGAAAACTTTTCATAAGGGATAATTAATCACTGCTTAACTTGATTTTAGTTTGGCAATATGCAAATACTAAAAATAAATAGAAATCCTTAAACTATGGTATCCAAGTTTCTCAGTTTATCAAATTAATAACTTATGATATTTTTTTTTTACTTATTTTTAAATTTTCATTTTTTTTAAATAAAGAAATAATCAAATATTTGAGACAAATATATAGTGTTTAAAACCATGCGAGAAAGAGGGAAATAAAACAGAATGTTATGCATTTTTTCTCGATTTAGTTTTAAAATTAAATTATGATGAAATCTAAATTTCCTAATTGAAGTGAATAGGAAGACATTATGTATACCACTGACCCAAAAATTACCAAATATTTGAAAAATCAATTTTAAGGTAAAACGGAAATTAATAAAAATGTATGGTTGTCTTACATTTCCAAGATTCTCAATTAGACATCAACTTATAGAGCCGTTGAGAGAAACTTTAAAACGGTTTTTTCTTCTGCATATGAGAAATTATTCAAACCAAAATATTTACAGGAGAATTATTTTTTTAGTTTATTTCACTTAGCATAGTAACGCCTTCTGTTTGAAAACTTTGCGCCTAGTTTTGAAACTTTCTTCTTCATTTATTTCACGTTCTGAAAGACTTTTTTGTTTTTGTAAGTAGAACACAACAGTAAATTTTTATCGCTTTAAATTTATTTCTTAAAGTATTTTCGAATGACGGGATCTATATTTTTAGAAATTTTCTCCAATTTACTCTAAAATATAACAGCGTTCTGTATGTCATTTAAGCTGTCAAATGCGTTGCACATAAGCTTATTTTTTTCTTTTTAAAGAATTTTAAACACACTGGAGATATATTAAACGAAAAATATCTTTAAATTCAGAGTTTTGTTACTTATTTAATCAAAAAATATAAATATCTATATGAAACAATTCTTTGCGTGGAATAAAACATACATATTCTGTATGACTTTTTATGCAACGATCACAAAGTGTCAATTAATTTTAGTGAAATAAAGAAACGAGTCATCCTGTCGTAAATTTAGTACTTATTACCAGTCGTATTACTTATAACCATTTAACCTTTTAAAGCTTGCGAAGACTCTGTGTCCACATTCACGCTGATGAGCCTATTTTTCTCGTTAACGATTTCGCTCTTTTACTTAACATTCCTCGCCCTCAGCGTACGTAGTTACGAACTGTAAGGTACTAACTATTTCGAGATGAAACTGAGTTGCACAGACCTTTCTATGCTTTATAATTTTATAACCGTCTTTGAACAGCGGACCAAATTTTGGGTTTACGACAACTAATAATCAACTCCTTAGCCTTGTAATTTTGAACCCAATCCAGACGAAAAGGTAACTCCTGGATCAAATATTGGGAGAAATTTTACCTTCGTAGAAGACTTTTTGATGGAACTAACCCGCATTTGCGTTACATAGAGAAGAAGACCACGAGAACCTCGCACGGTTAGCCTGACAGCAAGGGGACTCTAACCCATGATCCGTCTACCAATGAGGACATTTCACGTCAGCATTGCGTTCGGTGCTAGCGGGATGCGAAATTCGTCCTGACCAGCCAAGGCTGGAGTTCGTATCCGGTTCGAAGGCGAACGCTCTATCCCCTGAGCCACCACGGCACGACCCCTTTATGTTGGGACATTTCGTTTATGTATAAAACCTCTCTAAATTGTACTTTCGCGAAGCATCCCGCACGCTCCCGTGCTTCAGTTTTAATCAGCCAATTTACTACGAAGCAATCTCAATTCACTACAGTGCTTTCGATGAGATTACGGACGTGACAGTACGAATGCTACGTGATTTGAAATTAGTCTTAACTTACGCGTTTAGAAGAATATAAAAATACTGTCAAACTATGTAAAAATAGAAAGAAAAAAATAATTTGAAACTTCCACACTGGTGTTCTCTCTTTGAAATTAAGCCCTCAATTGATAATATCATACTTATAAAAAATACTATAGTAATTAAAAGATTTGTTTCATTGTTCCTCAGCTTTAATCAGGCAATTTACTTCGAAGCAATCTCAATTCACTACAGTGCTTTCGATGAGATTACGGATGTGACAGTACGAATGCTACGCGTTTAGAAGAATATAAAAAATACTGTCAAACTATGTAAAAATAGAAAGAAAAAAATAATTTGAAACTTCCACACCGGTGTTCTCTCTTTGAAATTAAGCCCTCAATTGATAATATCATGCATTTATAAAAAAATCTATAATTATTAAAAGATAAATTTCCTTACCAATCAAAATTTCGGTGGATGGTTTTTGCAACAAACACCAGAACAATAAAAGCCACTAAGCACCATGCCATCGATTTCAATTTTCTGCAAATTAAATTCGCAATAAATAAAATTTATTCATACTTCAATTTTTTAAGTTACACACGCTAAAGAAAAAATAAACTTGCGTGCGGTATTGAAGAAGATTCCATCCGTAAGAAACTATGAGACAAAATCCCATGCTTGGGGTATAAAGAACTCTTTCTGCGATCACAAATCCCACTGGAAAAAATAAATTCGATGCAGGTAGAAAAGGAAAAGCCAAAAGTGCTAAGCTCTGAAAAAATAGAAGAATAATGTCGTTAGATTTATCTAAAAGCTGATATTCAATATCAATTTGTCAGGAAATTTTAGAAGATTTAAGTAAAGGGGCGTTGAACTAGATATTCTCTTCTATCATATTACATAAATGAGAAGTTTAGACATTAAAAGTTTAAAGAGATTTTTCAGTAAATTCAAAAAAATAAAATTTCAAGCTTGTATATTGTTAATAAGATATATAATTTTGTCTTGGCTTTATTTCTCCTATGCGAACTTCCGATTGACGTAAACTGTAAATTTTTAATACCCAATCAAATTCATTTATATTCCTCACATCTTTTCAATTGCACCATTGGTGAAGTAATATGCATCCAGAGAAAGGTAGTCGTTGATTCGTTGTTGCCAAATGCACTTGGAATCTTCTTTCACTTCGAAACCTCTCAAAGATTGTTCCTTAGTAATTTTATCTACTGAGGAGAGTTGCTAAGTTTTAAGACTTGACAAAATAAATTGGCGTTTTGGAGTTAACACATTGTTGACCGATGACGAGTTAGTAACTCATTTTTTCATTCTCAAACGTTGTTGACCTATAGCAAATTAAACTCGACCTTGCACTTACAGTGCCGTATCTAATTAGTGACACGTCTATACCATAAATTTTTTTACCGATATCCAAGTAATATTTATACCAATCAATTTACAAGAGATTGCACTAATTGCTAATTTTCTCTCCATTGTTGCTGCATTATCATAACTAACTTTACTTATAAATGGATTTTGAAACATGAAGTTGAAATTACCTAATAAGAGTTAGAGATGAGTTTATATCAGTTTTTTATCTGAATAAGACATTTTTTTCTTCAAAGCATCACTCATACCTTCATTAAGTAAAGCTTAATAAATTCGAATCTCAATTTTATCACTGCATGTAAGTTTTCTCAATATTTTTATGTATGTCTATATTGCGAGAATGTATGTATTTTTTAAACCTGCCATTTTTTTTTGAAAAATATATAGTCTAATAATGCAATGCCCGCTACCACCACCCATAAAAAAGTGCTCGGATATTTAGTTAACGCTTTATATAACAACTTCTTTTCTAGAAGTTAGGTTGTGCAAAAATATTTTGATTGGCTTTAAATGATCTAGAGAAAGGACGAAATACGCAAAAAGTAAAATCAAAATTGAAGTGTCCAAACTTTCGACAGTTCTCATGACCAAACTATTGGAACTATGTTTTCCAGATTTCGGCTATCCTCCATATTTTGAAGATCCAAAATCCGAATCCATAAAAAAGAGGTATTTCTTCAAGAGGAAAATACGTTTTTGTGTTTAATTTCGTAGATTAACTAATTAATAAGTATTTTTAAGGTGAAGCTCAAATACCATTAAGATAGTCCAAATACGTGATAATCCGATTCTTAAATTAAAAGTTATTCAGAGTGTTCAGTTTTTTCGCACTACATTAAATTCTTCAAGTCCCTAAAAACTTCCCTAATAGTTCACAAATCATTATTTAACCCTTTATATCTCAACATCTCTGATTTTAATAAAAATTACTCATACATTAGAATGCATCATTCTAAGCATGTAAAAAATAATAAAAAAATTTACAACATAAAATAAGAAAAATTCTTGGAAAAAAATTGATTGTTGCATTTCTGCACCCTTATGCAAAATGACAAAAAGTGCTTGTTGCATTCCTGCAACATTGTGAAAAATGGCACTAAGATTGAAAGATTCAAAAATTTTAATTCATATGAAAATTTTTAAAACAGTTGTTACTTTTGTTGTAACAAAGTCCTACACCACATTTCTCACAAATAGTTTGTGTAAATTCTTTGCATTTTGGGTATTTGCATCTGATTCTTTTGTTAGCCCAATTAGGCCAGTGCCCAATTGCCCAATTTCATCTTGGCGCACTGGTTTTGGCCGACAATCGCCAAAATCGTCCTTCAAAATTTGTTGGGGAAAAGACATAGGCTTTTTGTGTATGTTGCAGATATGCAACACGGTGATATAAAGGGTTAAGGATGAAAACATTAAACCTTTATCAAAAACTAATAAATCTTTTAACTGGAGTTGAAATCATCAAAATAAATTTATGAGTCAGAAGAAACTAAAACAGATAATAGCCAATCTTTTTCAGTTTGATACGGAGAATACAGTTTTGTTGATCTCGACAATCTTGATGATTTTCGTTAGTTTTGGACAGCGTGTTGACCTTTATTTAAACTTAAATATTAATTTGTGATCTAAAATCTGTGGTTACTAATGATTTTCTTTTTATAAGGACTCCAAAAATAAAATTGGTGATTATGTAGTATTAATAGTATGGATAGTTTAATATACCATGTATGATATAATTAAATTACCATAAGTATCGTCTTTGATCGAAAATCATAATCCCAAACGCTTATCCAAAGTAATGTTCCAAATGCCGTGTAAAATGTCAGAGTAGATAAGTTTCTATGATCCCAAATCGATGTGATAAGGGGCACTGTCCCCATGGTCCAATCACAACACAGATCACATGGGAAACAAATGAGCCAACTGTTGAGAGCTATCAGGTAATGCATGGTTAATTGCCGGGTGGGCGTATTTGCTGCGGCAGCTGGGTTATCGAATCTAAAAATATAATGAAAGTACATAATCAATGAAAAAATGATTATAGTCTACAAGAGAGTAAGCAATCATTTTTTTGCTTTCTATTATTAGAAAGACATGTCATTCTATGGAGAAAACATATAGAAACTACCAGAGGATAACGGATCTATTGTCATCATTCGTAACACAGCTCGTATTTTGAAAAACGACAAATGTTAGTCATTTTATGCACTGTAAAAAAACTCTGGTAAAAAGCACCGGCACTTAGGGTGCCGGTACTTTTTACCGTAATATGTTATGGAACAAAAAGCTGATATACCGTAATTTTTACAGTACTGATTACCGTAAAATTACGGAATCAATTTAATTAAATAAATATTACTGTAAAAATTATGCATGATATTTTACGTTAAAAATGGATTTTACCTAAAAATGGATTTTATGAATGATGTGTCCTAAGTGTCGGTACTCTAAGAATTATATTAAATTGCATGAATGGATTTAAAAAAAGGGTTTAAAATTATGCAAAAGTGTAAAGCTCAGCAAAATGATTGAAAGTGCGTAAGAAGTTTTAAAATGAAATTAAGTGATATCAAAAAGTAAAAATCAAGAAATTGTTATGTAAATTTATAAAATGACAAATATTGTACAATATGTATTAATGAATTATTTAATTCGTCATAAAATGCAATCAATATAAAAAATTTTGAAAGGTGTAAAATAGTTTAGTAAATGAAATTAAATAAATACAAAAACTATTTAATTTAAAACTTTAAAATTACTGTATAATATTTTACGGTGAAATGGATTTCATTGCTGATGAACCCAAAGTACCGTTACTTTATACTTTAATTTAGTTCGATATTTTTAAAAGTGATTTTAATAAAACCATACTAAAAACCTTTTAAAAAATAGTGGTTTTTATAAAAATTATAAATCAATATTCTTATTTAGTATAAGTGATTCATCAGCGTTATTCCTTAAAAAGCTAAACTAGCAAGATACTAAATTTTTATGATATTAATAAAAAGTAACTGAGATAAATTTAATTTAAAATGTTGGAAATTATTTAATTTATTTTGTCTTACAATTTTTCACTTGTTTTTAATAATTTAGATGCTTAAACAATGTAAATTTATTTACACAGTCACTCAATTATTTAAAAAAAAAAAAAACGTTTCAACGCTCAGTTCTAATATTTTCTAAATGACATCTTTAATTTAAAAACTGGCTCTATAAAAAAGACTGCTAAATTACAATGAAAACAAGTACTTGTTTTTTTTTCTTGTTAAAATTAACAAAGATGTTCAAAAATAAGTAAGATAAAAACGAATTTGTTCTGTATTATAACGAATTCAATTATCCATAATTACAAATAAAATGAAAATAAAACATTCATAGACTATGAATATTAGCGATATGAAAAGGCATATTTCGAAATTTCTCCAAAACCCTTTACCTAAATCCAATTGCCTAAACTATTAGAAATTTAGGTTCGTGTTAAACCGTATTATCCTTAACACTAAACACGCCATAACCGGTCAAATGACCGTTTAAGTATTTTCGTATCGAAAATNTATTTTGAAATTTCTCCAAAACCCTTTACCTAAATCCAATTGCCTAAACTATTAGAAATTTAGGTTCGTGTTAAACCGTATTATCCTTAACACTAAACACGCCATAACCGGTCAAATGACCGTTTAAGTACTTTCGCATCGAAAATGCGCTTATCTTATCGTTTTTACACATTTGACTTCATGACTTATTATTATCTATTATATATAATTCTCTTACGTGTCTCCCAAATTTTGGCTGTATTTCTTTTTCGCTGGTGGCAAAAGTTTTCATTTTTAAAGAAGTACTTTGTACAACTAAATAAGATTCTTTTCACAACACTTAAATATGTACTTTATTTTCTTCATATATACAGCGAACAGTCGGCAAAGAATCCTGTTAGGTTAAAAAACATTTCGCTAAAAAAAGAACGAATTCTAAAATAAATAAAAATAAACGTCTTAAAAAATAAGAATGCTGTTGCCAGTCATTGAATTTTTTGAAAGTTAACTTAGAAACATAAATCAAAATGACATAGAAGCGCAACTAGATCAGAATTATGATACATGAGCGCTTGACGTAACAAATCCTTCAATTCTATTAGTGTTGTATCGCCAAATGCCCAGATTAACAATTGTGTTTTTAAAGAAATTCTATAAAAAGTTTTAAATAAAAAAACTTCTATCCAGCTACTTCTACAACTGCTTCTTGAAGAACTTGGCTCATTGATTAAAAATATTGTTTTAATTTTACAGTACTAACTTTACTTCTACTTTCATNCAATGCCACATTTAAACACCTAAGTGCTTCCGAAATAATATAATTGATACTGTGTTCTTTTTTTCAAGAGTGAAACATCCTTGTTAACAAGAAAGTACTTAATTTTATTTAAAATTGAAAAATATCTAGTTGTTCATCTGAATTTGTAAAATTTCGAAGATGTTGCATTTATCTGAAAACTACTCAAAATCATGAATAACTTCAGTAATGGAATAGTTTCCATTGATAGTTAAACAACACATACACACATACAGTTTCCTTTGAATTAAATAGCACCCGAATGAATTAAATAATTCTTACTAAAAGGAAATCTTTGATATTGAAATTTCACTTCACATTATATATTTATTCATTTCAACCGTGCATAGAATATCAAAACGATAAAATAGTTATTGCAATAGTTAATGCAAGTTAAAATGAACACATATAATTTCGTTTTTAACCATCATTAATTTTATTCAATTTTGGTGTATCACTTTTATGTATTTACTTAAAAATATAGGAAATTTAGGTACAAAAAAACTAATTTAACGTATTATCTATCGCAATTAAAAGTGAGTAATTATTTCAAACTGTTGGTGAACTGTCAGTGTGTGTTTTTAATAAAAACGTATTATATTTTACTAAAAAGTCATTTAATTACTGTATATTAAAATAAATATTTATGTTCTAGTGATTCAGAATTAAATCTATAATTTATTTATTTTTTCACTTTCGAAAACTTTCAATCACAGCATCGTTGAGGAATCACTTGAACACCGTCTTGTCAAGTATAGCTAAATGCAAAAAAAGAATGAATTAAGACAAAAGAACGTGCAAAAATAAGATTATGTTTGTATCAGTAATAAAACAAATTGATAAATGTAGTGTATGATGTAACTGTGCTTAGTTAGAAAAAAATGATTTTTTATTTTAAAAATTTTTTTTAAATTTTTGATGAATTTTGGATTTTAAGAAATTTTTTATTTTATTTCTTTAACACTTTTTTTCCGTTTTCAAAATTGTTATTCAAATGTTTCTGAATGGTATGCAATAGTTGACTGCGTCATTTAGAGAAGAGTGAATTTTATTGTCTACTAGCCACGTCCATCGAACTGCTGGTCCGTCTTTTTAAATAAGTTAAATATCAATTATTTCGAAAATTTAAATCGGTTAGTCAGAAATCAAGACAATTTTTAGCAAACTTTTTAACTATTGAAATGTGTGTCATGATGTTTTATTGCTGTGGTCATTATATCAAACTTCGTAACACTTTCCTGAACTGGATTGCATAGTGTTGGTTAGATCATGCTACTACGGTACCTGAGATATTTGCTTGGAATCTTACCGACAATCAAACAACGTCTTCCTCACACATATCTCCCTTTCTGTCACTTATATATATATATATATATATATTATACCGAGAAAAAAAGTATAGTCAAAACTACCAGAATATGGCAAAATTTACTGTGTTTTTGTCTCCAAGGTAACACCGAATAGCTCGGTAAATTTTACCGAAGCGTTCTGTTGATGATTTTGGTAAAATTAACAATGAAATATGGTTTTGTTTTAAGCGATTAAATTTGGTAATTTTATAATATTTTATCCCAAGTTTATAACATTATACCTCAAAGCGTGACATAAAATCTAGTGATCGGTTCAAGTTACTTTCCAGTTTTGTATTTTCTTACTAAATGTGTTGTAATACGTATTATAATTGTGAAAACCAAAGTTTCCAGTAAATCGTTACTATATGAACGAAAAAACTACCAAGTGATTGGTTTAAATACCGAATATTTGGGTTTTATTAACCAGAATTAGGTTTGTTTGTTTTTTTACCAGAAATGCCACTACTACAGTACGGTAACTTTGACAGATATTTTTTCTCAGCGTTCGTGATTAGTACCATTTAATAAACTTAATTTTAATTACTTTGTAAAGACCGGCAATTGAGATCCCATAACATTTAAACGAAGCAGTAGCAAAACCAAAGCAAATATCGCCAAAGCTGACATTCTTACTCCAGCTTCTTTGATGTAAACAATTTTCTTGGTATTCATCACTATCTGCAACAATTCTGGAATCCTTAACTGAATAAAAAAAACAATGTTTCAGTTAGAGTTCGTTAAAACTTTAAAAACAAATTGAAATCTGTAGGGAAAAAAATTATTTCACTTTCTTTTTTGTTTCAAGAAATTATTTGTTTCATAAAGTTGTTAACATAAAAAATGTTGATGTACTAAATCATTAATACGAAAGCAAAAACCAACAAAACAACGTAAATAAACCTCATATGAAAGTATATAATTTACATAATATACTTCTTACTTTTATAGTTTCCATGCTATAAACAAGAAAATTCCTCTGTATCTAAATGTCTCCTTTCTCAGTGTCAAACGTTGTCAATGTTTAAGGTTTTGACACCAAGGAAGGTTTTTGTTTATAGAAAGGAAACTATAGTATATCCAATTATGTACTTTTATTTGTACTTTAATCACGTTGTTATTTGCTTTAGTCTACATAACAAAAATATACTGTATCCTTTGTTGTATAAATGATTAATCTTCATTTTTTTATTTTACAAATTTAACAAACTAATTATAAATTTCTTTTCCAGCATTTTAAAGACAATTAACGTAAGCAGCCATATTACTACTCAATTTTTGTCTATTTAAACCAATTCAAAAACAATTTTAAACTATATCACATTAACGTGAAAAACTAGTCTTTTTTTGTTTTTTGAATGAGTCAAAAACAATTCATGAAAAGGAATTGAAATGAAAAATTCATTTCCAAAAATAAAAATTTCAGAAAGGCATTTTTTCTAAGCCATCGTAGGTGTATGAATAATTAATTTTTTTAAAGTGTTTGAATAAAGAACTTTAATTAAAAAATATATAAACAATAAGCTGAAACTCGAGAGCTAAAACGAATTATCTCTCTTTTGCAAATCTCTAATAAATGCAAGCTTTGCATTTGTTCTCAATTTAGCTTTAATGTATGTAATACCATGACATATAATCCAATTTTTAAATTAAATGCGCTGATATAAAATTTTCAAATCCTATTTTAATAAAATTTCTTTAACGAGAAAATATTTTTTAGTTATTTCAGACATAGTATAAACAACGAGGGATTTATTTTCATATGTATTTCTAAATATAAAATCTAGTACAACATTTTCAAGAAATCTTCAAAACTGATAAGTACAGAAATGATTTAATAAAATAATAATTTGCAAAGGCGTACGTTTTTACAAGCTAGAAACAAAATACTGAAGTCATTTGATAAGAAAAAATTATAAATATATATTGAACTCATTAATTTTGAGCTTAATATTTTTTTTTTATTTTACCAAAACTAAATGAATAAATATTTGAAATAAATCTTCGAATCTATTTCGAAATTAAATCCCTTGACTGTCAACAAAAACTATTTTTCTTCATTTAAGAATTTTTTAATAGAAAGAATTATAAATTGAGTGATATAATAATCTAAAGTTTTTTATAAAAATCTTTCGAAATGAAATACTGATTTGCTTCAAAATAATTAATTTTGTTTGAAATGCATTTGGAAAACATTTTTTTTTCTTCAAAATATTCAAAGAGAATTAAAATATCTACTATAAAGGAAATTTGAAATCGAGTTTAAAAAATTTTATTAATAATTTACCTTATGTAAAATAAAAATATCATAAATACAACAGACTCCTACAACAGTGATTCCTTGCTCTTTTGAAAATGTTGCCATTGCTACACACAGAAGACACCAAGCAAAAAATGTCCAATCTACAAATTAAAAGAAAAAGTATTTTGAAAAAGGTAACTAACCTTCTTACTTTTATTAAAATAGAAAATATGAAAGGTTGGAGACATTTAGCAGTTTCATATAGCATCCTGTACTTTTACGCAGCATCACGAGGCATTCAAACAGCTTTCAATTTAGCATCCGAACATTCTCGTAGGCATGCTCTGTGCGTCATTTTTACTACAGAACAATATCGGTTCTCTATAGAACTTGTGATACATCTACAGACGTACACAATTAGAGGGATGCTACACTATTAGAAATTTAGAAGAATATTAAACTATGATTGCAACCTTAATATGATGCTAAGTTGTGCCCNTACTATTACTTTAATAAATGTCTAAAATCATAAAATAAATGTACAAACACAGTATCTAATATAGTTTTATTTTAATTAACAGAAAATTACTTTTGCGGGGGTCGATGGAGATTTCGAAAAATTATGTAGGGGTCGATGACCAAAAAAGTTTGGCGACCCCTGCTTTAGTTTGATTACAAGATACTTTGATTCAATACGAAGGAAAACATGGTTTATTCAAGGTTTAGAAGTATAATAATGTGGTACAACCTAGCACCATTTTAAGGTTGCGACAAATTTGCACCTTTTTATAATTCTAAATACCTATATTATAGTTCAATGTTAAACGACATTTCTAAGAGTTTATTTGAAAGTGCTAAATAAGAAAATAAATGGAAGGAAAATTTTTGATAGCACTATGTCATTTTTCATTGTATATTGTCTGCTATAATGTCAATTGTCTGCAAATCATTATATTTTTCAAAGAAAGTATTTAAATGTGTTTCTTACCTGTAACTGGTGTGGCTGCTTTACTGTAACAAATAAAAGCTAACAAGAAAAATAACGACGATAATATTTCAGCTCTGCCAACGACCCCAGTCACCTAAAAAAATCCAAAACGTTTTAAAAGAAAATATAATTTTTTTGAGCCTAAGTTTATGCCTTGCATTAATTGCTTTCTTTCATCTCCGTTTAAAACACCAAATATTGTTACAAATAGACGTGACGAACAAGTTCTATTAATCGATCCTCTTTACCATGCAATGTTCAGTCCATATTGCAAAATTACTAAATTATGTGTTTTTCCTTCGCTTATTTATTACTTTTAGCTGATTTAAATAAGCATCAAAAACATGAAATAAAATTTTTTATGCAAGGTTCAATAATAAACTCAATAATGAAATTTTCAATAATAAACTCAATCGCTTAAAATATAATGAATTAAATTTTGAAATACACATTTAATAATGCATAAGCTAAAACGAATTATTCTCTACACAGCACAAATAACCAAAAAAGAGTTTAAAAAAACATTACTTATTTGACATTTAAAATAATAAATGACCCATAAACATTTTTTAAATGCACTGTAAATATTTTAATACTTAAAATCTCAACTTATTTGCAATCACTAATAGAACCTTTTAACTGCATTTATGTAACATCTCAAACACATTGCAAAAATATTTCACTTACTGTGGCATAAATACTGCTGTGTAAGACATTTATTTATTAGGGAGTAGAATGTGTACTAAATAATATTGAAAACAACTTTCCCATTTAACAAAGTTTATTTATATTGCCCAAATTTTCGAACATTTTGACATGACCTCTCTAATGTTACTTTCGAGTCATATGACTGAGAAGAAACCCACTGATTCTTTCCTCCTGTTTGAAATTTCTTTTCAAAATTTATTTATGTCATGGTTCCATTTCATCACATTGTTATATAATGTTGTTTAAGCCTATAGCAGCCCAGCCAAATCCAGCTCTTGTGCGGTTTAACCCTACCAATTTAATCCTTACGCAACTTCACTCTTCCCCGGGAGATTCAGCTTACAGAAATAGGCTGCTTGGAATAATTCCTAAATGATATCCCAAGATTAAGAATACAAATCAACAGTTTCTGTAATTGAGAAATAATATTATTGTAAAACTATTTCGATAATGACCATTGGATTACCGAATTTAAAAAAGGAAGTAATAATAGAATTCGATTTCCTTGGTATCACTTAAGCAGAAGCTTTGAGGAAAAAAGCCTCAAGCTTTTAGCGCGATGATGGAACTTTTTATCGATACAGACTCCGGCTCGAACTCTTAGAGTTAGTTAAAGATAGGGAATTTTTCCGATATTCGACAAAGCTTGGGGAAAAAGCGTTGCAAATCGATGACGTTGAGTTCTTTTCATATTAAAGATACTATTATGAATAGAGATGGAAGAAAGTTAGCCATTTTGCTTTCAAAGCGACGTCAATTTTGATATAAAAGCAGCACTTAGAGCTAACCGATCGAGAAAACAGTTCTAGATTAGTGGAAATTGAAAAAAGGGGAAGCAAATCTCTGCTTAAATTAACATTGTGGGGAAAGATGTCTTCTTTGCGATTAAATCTGTGTGGGAAAGGTTGAAAGTGTTTTAGAAACAGTTTAAGAAATCGAAAATGTATTGAAAGCTTTCAAGAAATTTGTACTGTTTTAAAAGAAAACTTTTTTTTATTGTTTACTTGGAAATTTCATCTGCACTTAGTTTTAAGAATGACACATTAATCGGAATAAAGTATACAATTTAACTCTAATAAATTGATATTGATGGTCTCATGAATCTAAAGATGTTTTTAATTAACCGCTATAAAAAAATTTATTTCGGTAACATAAAACAATAATTATTTAATATTTGTAAAACATATTATTTCAAGACAAAATTAATTTTCTAATTCCAACGTGAAACTGCTCGTGAATTTTGATAACATGATTTGGTTCCCTTTTTTATTATTGTTGTTGTTGTTGTTAATTTACGTCGCACTAGAGCTGCACAATGGGCTATTGGCGACGGTCTGGGAAACATCCCGGAGGATGATCCGAAGACATGCCATCACAATTTTGATCCTCTGCGGAGGGGATGGCACCCCCGCTTCGGTAGCCCGACGACCTGCGCGCGAAGTCGAGCACTTTACGGTAGCACAGTTTAACGAGGACCAATACCGCACACCCTCGGTCCCTACGCAGACTGATCCAAGTGGTCACCCACCCGCACACTGACCGTAGCCATTGATGCTTGACTTCGGTGATCTGCTGGGAATCGTGTCTTAACTATCAGTCCACTGCGGGAATCCCTTTTTTAATTTAATTTGATTTTGTACTCTCATATTTTAAGAATCGGATTGCATTTTTTGAGACGGAAGTTTGTCAACTCATCCCATAAGACACACTTAAAATTCCAATTTAGTTGATTTAGTGCTTACTAATGCTTCAAAATCTTAAACGAATGTTATTTATTTTTCCTATTTATAGATTAAACTTAATAAAAAGGCTTCAAATTTAAATTCTGCTTCCGAATGCAGTCTTGAAGTATAAACTATATTTCAAATTACTGGAAATATAATTTATATTCCAATTTTTTCTAAATAAATTTCGATTTTGCTTACTTATGCACTTCACGTATTTTTAAAACTATTGCTTACCAGTGGAATGCGTTTGTAGGCATGCATTAGTATTTACAAACATTTTCGAGTATTAACTTGGGTTTAAATTTTGCTCTGATTTTTTCAAGTTCTTTAATTTAAAGTTTTTTTTTTCATTTCATTTGAGCAGTAAGGAGTATATTAAGGTTCTATATTGGATTTTTTAAATACCCTGCTTGTTTCAGTTTCCTGCCCTACTTAGTCTGTTTAGTTTAGAAATTTCGTTTAGCTTGATCTAATTTTTTAGATTCTCAACTTTCTGAAATTCACTGTAATAACATTTTACAACAAAGAAACTTTATGTTTCTCCATCAAAAAACAATATTAAATGCAGAGAAGTTATCATAAGTCTTGACTAAAATTCAGACAAACACTTGTCGCCTTTGCACTTTTTGTCTATTGTTACGAAGAGTGATAAAATACGAATGTAACTAATAATACGAATGTAACGGATAAGCAACAAGACTATTTTTAGAAAATATACTTTTATATAAAAGTAATTTATCCGTCTAAAACTAAAATAAAATAGTTACCTTAGATATAAAATGCATGAAATGTAATTTTAAATTTTTTATACATTAATTAATATAGATTAATTAATAAAAATAAATTAATAAAGATTTAAAAAAGATTAAAAAAGATTAATTAATGTAGATAAATTAACTAATATAACTTGATTAATATAGATTAATTAATATAGAATAATTTATATAGATAAATTTATATAGGTTATTATATATTAATTTATATAGGTTAATTAATGTAGATTAATTAGTTAATATATCTGAATTAATATAGATTAATTAATATAAGATAATTTATATGGATTAATTTATATAGGTTAGACTTAGAGGTTGGGCAGCTCTGACGAGCAGAGCACATCGACCAGAGGTCTATTGTACCCAAACCCTAAATCGTATTTAGCAAGAAAGCCCTATATCTGAAATGAAGTTCAGCAAGCACAATACAGGAACAATTTATATAGGTTAATATATATTAATTTATATAAGTTAGTTAATATAGATTAATTAATGCAGATTAATTAGTTAATATAACTTAATTAATATAGATTAATTTATATGGATTAATTTATATAGATTAATTAATATAGATTAATTTATATAGGTTAATTAATATAAATTAATTAATATAGATTAATTTATTAGTAGCAACCTAAATAGTGTTATGTAAACAAGACAAAGTTTTTGAACTTCAAATATTGATTTTGTGATCCTTTAACTCTTTGAACCAAACATTTTATAAAATATGTAATTGAACTTACAGATTTTTTAAATTAAATTTCATAATCAAATACTTAAGAAAATTACTATTTATAAGAAGTGAGTAGACTTGTTGACTTACTGCTTCCGTGTGGACGGGATGCGTTGCAAACAACAATGCAGCAACAAATGCAGTAGATTTAGAAACAAACATGCAACAAACCCTAAATAAGATATCATCAACATAGAAAAATTAACACGAAAGATCTCAAATAGCTTATAAAACAATTTATATTGCATGAAATTATTTGAAAGAGAGAAGTAGTTTTAGTTAAATAAAATAGATTTTCCTATGCACTTTTAAGTAAATTTTCTTTCTGTTCAATTTCAAAAAGTCACTGTTGTATTAGATTTTTCAGCTTTAAAATTATGCTAAGTTTTCAGTTCTTTTTAGATATACGATTGTTTTATATAATCCAATAAATAATCTGGGTTGTTTAAATAATCTAATAAACAATGATTTCATCAAAATGAAATTTTTTTTAAATTTTTAAACATGATAACCTGTTTTATTTTAACTTTGAAAAAATACAGAGTTATCTAAAAATATTTCATGAAAATCTTTATACAAATACTTCGTATGTTCCAAATCAGGTCAACAACCGTCTATTTATTATTGTTAAATATTTATGACTAATTTTACCAACCCATTTACGTTGCATAATTTTTTACTTTATAATTGTTTTTATTTATACGATTGTTTTATATGATCCAATAAATAATTTGGGTTATTTAAATAATCCAATAAACACTGATTTTCATCAAAATGAAATGTTTTTCTTTTTTAATTTTTGAACATGATAACCTGTTTTATTTTAACTAGATAAATATAGGCTTATAAAAAATACCAAGTTATTTAAAAAAATATTTTATGAAAATCTTTATACAAATACTTTACTTGGTCCAAAGCAGGCCAACAATCGTCTATTTATTATTGTTAAATATTTATGACTAATTTTACCAACCTATTTATGTTGCATGATTTTTTACTTTAGAATTACCAAGATCAATAATGAAATGAATTTTTCCATGATGTTTAATTATTCTTAATTCATAAATAAATTAAAAATTAATATACACCTGCCCCTTCATAATACTTACTTAAAAGAGATTTTTAAAAGATTGACTCGATAAATTTAAATTAATAATGCTCAAGATTTATTTTTTATGAAGAAATATATCGCTTTATGTAACGTAAATCAACTTAAACATAAAGTAATTGTTTACATAAAAATAATTCCAAATTGCATAAATTCTACCTCGTCCAATGCTGAATACATTATTATATATTTATAATTTTTAAAAGTTAGAAAAAAGATCTTACTTCATGTATAGTAAACAGACTAAACAGTGAAGAGCAATATTTGTGAGGTGGTATCCGAAGGGCTGTAGTTTATGGATGTAATAATTTATTCGATACGTCAATACACAAAGAGGACGGTAAGACTTATGGCTCTGTTCCTATATTATGTACAAAAAAAAGAAACTTTGCAGTTGCATGCATATTTATCAAGTTTAGTTTATAATTGGTTTAAAAATAGCACACGAAGTTTTTTTAAATTAAAAAAGTGAACTACATAGGTAGGTAAAATCGGTATAAAATTATTAACTCTTAAGCAATAGTATTAAAGGAAATATATTTTATTTTTCGAATTTTAGGTTCGCATTTAAATTTCAGGGATGGGAAATATACTTTACTGGGAACCATTTATCGTCTTGAAGAAAATTAATTTTTATGTGATTATTTGCCATAAAAAAGTTAGAAGCTTCCTGCAATTCAGAAGAATACATCCACGTTATGCGATCTTGTATGTGGTCCTCTTTTCTGGTCTCTTTGTGTTACATTTCCTACATCGTCTGTAGTTGAAAAACATGTTTTACGTATGGTTTACCATTTTCTAAGCTCACATGATAGAGAGCAGAACAAAACTGAAGCGGGAACTTGTGTTTTCGTCGTTATAATCTTATCGATGGTATCGCTATAATCTTCTTCTTCTTCACTACAGCCGGTTATTGGTCAAAATCGTCTCAGTCAGTTTACCCCATCTATATCTGTCCGATGCTATATTTCTCCGTCTTTTAACTCCCAAGTTCTTTAACCACTTCTTTACTCTTTCTAACCATCTTGTTCTGAGTCTTTCTCCTTTTCCCTCTGGCGCATGGGAAGTTATTTTTTTAACAGAATTTTCATCGCTATTTCGAATTACAAGTCCTATCCACCCTATTTGAGATACCCTGATCATATTTACTATATTAGATACTTTACAGTTTAATTGTAATTCATATTTGCAACGAATTCACCAGGTTCCGTTTTCTCTTACTACTCCAAAACTTTTTTTTAACATTTTTCTCACAAAATTCATCAGTTTCTCTTCGTCTACTTTGTTAAGTACCTAGCCTTCGCTGTCATATAAACTATTGGTCTCACTAGCTACTTGTACAAATGTATTTTTGTTTCACAACTTATGTATTTAGATTTAAACTGGTTTCTCAATCCATGATAACATCTGCTAGCCCATCGTTATAATAGACCAAAATGTTATAAAGGGTTCTAGGCTTCCCATTGGTGTATTTCATACGATTTTGTAGGTGGGAAGTGGATACTCCCCAATGTACATGAAAGGTTAAAGAAGTAGTGTACGAAACTTAAAGAACGTTACAAATTTATAACAAATCTTTAACGAGCTTAAATATTAAAAAATGAGTTAGCCCTTATAAGAAAGAATATCTATTTTTAGTATTTGATTTCCACTCGTTCACATTTAAAACAATTCAACAGTTGTTTATATTGAAAAAGGTTTAATTTTATCGAGGATTAAATGAAAATTTGAGAATGAAATGGATTTAAAAAGCTATAAAATATTTTATGTCTAAAATGGCATGAAACCATGCAATTGTCTTGTTGAAATAAACATTATATAAAATTAAACTTCCTTCATTATTTTTAACGTATTTATTTATTAGTAATTCCAACTACTCTTCGCAACTTAAATCTGTTAGTAGATTAAACTTGAAAACTTAAGCTAATTGTGTAAATAATTTTCTAGTTTCCATTTTAATTAATTCTTCTTTTTTTTCTGTTTTGTTTTCTCTGTGGTTGCCTAAAAACCATGGTTAAACAAATATATATATNCAATCCATATATCAATCATCCATCTTTTCACATAGTTATAAATCGTACAAGAAAAATGAACTTAACAGAAATACCATAACAATAATCGAAGACTTGATTTCCATCACATTTTGTTGTATAATAAAAGAAAACTTTATTACATTTAAGACTTACTTTCCTAATTGGCGTTCCCCAGAAATCGTTTAGAAGTAAATTAGATAAAGGTGTTGTCGGTCTTAAATCTTGGTTGTCACGAATTGCTGACATATCATCAAATACAAAATCACAGTCCAGGGCGTTTTTATAGCAAACCCATACTGCTACTAATATCACCAAATGGAAACTAATTGTTGTCATTCTTTCCGCCTGAAAGAGAAGGGAAATATGATTTATTTATATGTTTGAAGGTTGTAATCATGAAAAATTTCAATGATCTCAAATCTCTAATATGTCTTCAAAAAGTTAAAAATACACAAAAAACAAGGATTTTTTTAAAGAAGAGACAAAAATTGTTGAAAAGTGTTTTTAAAAAAATTATCAAATTTATAATTTTTTTTTTAAAACAAAGTTGGAAAATAAAATAAGGAAAAAATATAATCTTGACATAATCCGATAATACTCGATAATATCCGAAAATATGGCTTTCTAATATTGTATTTAGCATTTAATCCTTTCAGTAGGTCGATAAAATGAGTACCAAGCATGCTTAAAGACTAAACACTGAAGGTTCCGCATTCGGCCGACCATCCAACCAGTATATCTGCTCCTACACACCAGAGCCCAAGGTCAAGAAATCTGAGTTGGGCACAGTAGACTTTGGCCCCCTCTATGAAGGCTGGGACACACCTGTCATGCAGCGTTCCGATCCGACTCATACCCGATTTTCTTTAAAAAGTGTGACCGGTGCGGGATCGGAAAGGAATGAGCACATGTTTCATGTTCACAACCTGCTTCTTTCCGATTTTACGTTAGTTCAACTCGAGATCGCAAACAACCGTGGAACTGTGCAATAATGTTGAAGCATTTTAGCAATCGTGATTTAGCTATTGTGGCTATTTGTTTGGACGAAGAAGATCGAAATAATGAAAAGAGTAGTGGGAAACGTGAATATTGGGTACATGATGCATGGAAAAGAAGACACGAAGAAGGGGAGTTTACCACACTTTTACCTCATCTGTTGGACGACGAGACGAAATTTTTTCATTACTTCAGAATGCCTATGCACACCTTCAATCAATTGNAGGAGAGCGTGGTGGCCAGGGAACTGGACCACCCCGTACTATCCAATGCTGGCCGTAGACAGCGTCCAGGTGATTTCTGGCCCTCCCTGTACATCCTCTGAGCAACTAATTCGTTTCCTTGTGCAGCCCCATACATGAAATGCACGTCGGCAAGCTCCACATTGGTGAAACGATGCATGCTGTTTGAGATCCGTGAGGGAATCCAGCTAGCAAGCGCTTTTATACGCCGCAGTCATCAGCGCTCCCTACCGGCTCAAGGCGGCATTACCACACACACAATCCTATACGAAATATGCTTATTTAAGTCCCCTCTACCTACCTTTACATTTTTGACATATTTTAGGACCACCCTGCGCGCGCGCGTGCGTGTGTGTGTGCGTGTGCGTGCGTGTGTGTGTGTGTGTTTTTTTCAAAAAAATTAACGCACCAAGAAATAATTGCGCCCACCCATCGACGCCTCAGTTTGAAGTTTTGCCGCGCACGAGGAAACTGGACTGCAGTGGAATGGAACCAGGTCGTCTTTAGTGACGAATCCACATTCAATCTCAGCAGTGATGACAATCGTGTTCATGTGTGGAGACCCAGTGGTGAACACCTCAATCCTGCCTTTGCTGTACAGCGACACACCATTCCCACAACTGGTGTGATGATATGGGGTGCCATTGTCTACAATACACGGTCACCCTTAGTATTGTTCCGTGGCACCATGACAGCCCAGCGGTATGTCCATGAAATCCTGCAACCACATGTGTTGCCACTCATGCAACGGATCCCAGGAGCCATTTTTCAGCAATACAATGCTCGGTCTCGTACGGCAAGGGTGTCACAAGATTGTCTCCGTACTGAAACTACCCTTCCTTGATCCCCAGATTTGTCTCTAATCGAGCATGTCTCGGATTATTTGGGACGGCGAGTTGGGCATCCTACGAGTTTGAACGAACTAGAGGCAAGGTTGCAGCAAATATGGAACGAAATGTCTCAAGACATCATACAGAACTTGTGTGCCTCAATGCCCGATCGTATCGCATCGTGCATTCGCGCTAGAAGGCGTCCAACGGAGTTTTAACTCCTCCGTTCTTTTGCCTTTTTCTATGAAATAAATTATCCTTTTTCTTTGATTTTCTAATCATTTACTTATATCAAAGTAGGCATTACGTATGTAAAATTTTGTTTCATTTTGAAGACTCCTTTTTGGTGCGCTAATTTTTTTGTCCATGAGTGTATATTTAATAAACTAGACAAAAAGAAGAAATGAAAAGAGATTAATGAATATGTATATGAGCAAAGTCTAGACAGTGGGATCTAACAACTTAAAGAGTAAGACGAGTACCAAAATCTGAACAAATATAATTAATTTTCCAATTCTTTTTTAATATAAAAAAAGCAATTTCCTCGCCATTAATCAGAATTATTTTCATCACTTTTTAGTAAATATATCGTTTAATAAGCAGACTCAGATTAAACTTTAAATCATTTAACGAACTTTTAATGGTTATTAAACATAAACTTTTAATGTTTAAATCTCTAAATTTAATCAGGAGGTGTTCATTTCATTCAAATACGAATTGTTTCTTTTAATCAAATAACTATTAATAGCTGCTAGATAATATTATATCAGTAATAATTTATCGTATTTATCACACAATGACTTTTATTATTTACAATTTTTATTGAATTTTTAACCTTTAAATATTTTTTGAAAAGTTGTCATTGCTGTATTAGACTTAAGGCCGTAGATCATATAACTTGATTATCCGCAAAGCAAGTAATCTTTTTTTTTCTTTCCTCCAGACGTGGACACGTACCTAGGTTTGCAAAACCCTTACCCGTATAGTCCACGTCTGGCTACCAGTCCAGCTCGCCACAACCCGGCGAGCTAGCCTGATCAGTGGGAATTTATTTTTAAAAAATTTGCATATTACGTAATACATATAAAAAAAATTTACAATAAAAAACAACATTGAAAGTCTTGCAGAAGACAATGAAGTGCAACACATTTGCTTCAGAAAAAACAATGACTGAAACAATAAATGAAGAAAAAAGAACATGAACAATAAAAAAAAAAATTTGTTATATAGAGCAAGTAATCTTCAAGTTATTCAGATTTCATATTTTTTTTTGTCGTATGCCTGTTTAAGGCAGTGTTGGTGCGATTGTTCCTGTTTTTCAGTGGCGCCATCTATGGCCAGGAATTCAACTTCTGTCACGCCATTTACACAACCACAACCCGTTTATAGGCGGGTCACATTCACACACAAAGGAGAAAGGACATAGAACACTCAGAGAGAGAAAGAAACATCCATGCCTTGCACGGGATTCGAACCCAGGACCCTGCCCCCTACACAGGCCAGTCTGCCAGATTTCATAATGATAAATATGTATGAAAAGTTTTTGTCTAACCTTTTCTGGAATAGTGACAAGCACAATTTTATTTTTTAAATTTGTTCAAATTATTAAAAAGTTGAAAACGATGGTATTTCGTTTCTTTTAATATTTATTATTTATTTTAAACAATTAACCTTTTTAAAAAAAACATTGAGAATATAAAGCAAAAGGAGGCTAATATCTATTTTAACTTAGTTATTAATTTGCACTAATATATGCAAAGTATTCTGAATCGTCAACGTAAAAATATTTCCCAATAAAAAGCTACGAAAATCTTCGCGAGTGATAAATATTCTTTAGAAGAAGTTATCCGAAGAATGCAATTTACTTTTTTATAAAATACTTTTAAAAGAATGCTTTTTTATTTATGGTTTGAGAAAGATTAGTAGATATTTTTGTAATTTGAAAAACATATCAAGACTATAGTATATAGTAAAAAAATTGTAGGATGCCGATTATAAATTACTTGTTATTGTATAAACATTAAATTTTCTGGAAGAACATTGATATATATTTTCAAAAATCATACACATACTTAAAGACATATATTTTATATATTATAGCATTAATTAAAAAATATGTTATATTTTTGAAATATTTGTAGTCAACTTTTATATTTATGTTATATTTATAAATGTTGGATTATCAATACTTTATTAAATTGTAAGCAGTTATTTAAAATATTTATTCATAAAATACGAATAAAAATATAGATACATTTAAATATCTTAAAATAAAATTTCGTTTTCTATTTTTTTTATCAAGTTCAATTTTTAACGATGGAGATACTTAGCAATATAATCTACGTGATGCTAATTTGAATAATAAAACAGAATTGTGTTATTTAAATTAGTGCATAGTTAATGTTGAGTATTAAATCGAAGGATAAAACGTATACTACCATGCATTAAATTAGTTAAAAGCATAATTATTAAATAATAAATGTTAAGTTGATTCAATATTCTCAGATGAAGTATTTTAAGCAACGTTTGCAACTTTGTGAGCTTTGAAATAAATTTTTTTAATGAAATATTTCAGGACATGATCGTGAATTTCTGGAAATGACATTATTGTAAGCTTGTTTTAATGATTAATATTAATTGGAAAACTATAAAGAGTCAATTGGTCTACTATATTTTGGTCATTTATATTTTTAGTTTGTTTATGATCAGGAAAAACCAGTTCAACTTTGAACCATAATACCAACACTTCAAACCATAATATGAGACAAATTTAAAGTGTTAAATTGAACCGTGTTTCCGTTTAAGTTGAATGATAGTATCGTTTAATGTTCTTCAGAAAGAATAATAATATGGTTCAATTTGGCACCTTATTCTAGTTGTTGCAAATTTAAACAATATGTTTATTAAACACGCTACAAATTTTCTAATAAGGTATTCCCAAAATGAAATACATGACAAACCGTGCGACTAAGGGAGGAGCAGGAAAGTTGGAAACAGACTAATTTGGCTAGCTCAAATTGGAATTTGATAACTCATCAAAAAACAAGAGAAATACCACATCCTAAAGTAAAAGATTTCAAATTGTGTTCATTCCCGTAATTAAATGTTTCTCAAGTAGTAATTCATTTTTCGGGTAAGAGCAGTTGCTTTTTATACTCTTATTTCGACTATAATTGTATTTTTGAGCCCATAGTTGTGCTAGACAATGGTATCCTACTTTCATATATTAATCTCAACTTACTAAATTATAGAGTTTCGATTTCTTGTCTTGCCATTT